GACAAATGCTGTACCATTACATTTTAAACAAATTACTATACCAGTACAATAACAGTGACAAATGCTGTACCATTACAATTTTACACAAATTACTGTACCAGTACAATGACAGTGACAAATGCTGTACCATTACATTTTAGACAAATTGCTGTACTAGTACAATGACAGTGACAGATGCTGTACCATTACAATTTTACGCAAATTACTGTACCAGTACAATGACAGTGACAAATGCTGTACCATTATAATTTTAGACAAATTACTGTACCAGTACAATTGACAGTAACCAATACTGTACCATTACAGTGTTTGAGAAATTATTTTACTAGTACAATTTTATGATAAATTACTCCACCATTACAATGACCGTACCCAATATTGTACCATTTCAATATTAGACAAATTACTATACCAGTACTATGACTGTGGGTTGTGTGACTGCAATGTGAAAACGAGTGATTTGCATGACTGCAGTTTGATATCAGGTGGGTTGTGTGACTGCAGTGTGATATCAGGTGGGTTGTGTGACTGCAGTGTGATAACAGGTGGATTGTGTGACTGCAGTGTGATAACAGGTGGGTTGTGTGACTGCAATGTGAAAACGAGTGGTTTGCATGACTGCAGTTTGATAACAGGTGGGTTGCGTGACTGCTGTGTGATAACAGGTGGGTTTTGTGACTGCAGTGTGATAACAGGTGGGTTTTGTGACTGCAGTGTGATAACAGGTGGGTTTTGCGACTGCAGTGTGACAACAGGTGGGTTTTGCGACTGCAGTGTGACAACAGGTGGGTTTTGCGACTGCAGTGTGACAACAGGTGGGTTTTGCGACTGCAGTGTGACAACAGGTGGGTTTTGCGACTGCAGTGTGACAACAGGTGGGTTTTGCGACTGCAGTGTGACAACAGGTGGGTTTTGCGACTGCAGTGCGACAACAGGTGGGTTTTGCGACTGCAGTGTGACAACAGGTGGGTTTTGCGACTGCAGTGTGATAACAGGTGGGTTTTGCGACTGCAGTGTGATAACAGGTGGGTTTTGTGACTGCAGTGTGATAACAGGTGGGTTTTGTGACTGCAGTGTGATAACAGGTGGGTTTTGCGACTGCAGTGCGATAACAGGTGGGTTTTGCGACTGCAGTGCGATAACAGGTGGGTTTTGTGACTGCAGTGTGATAACAGGTGGGTTTTGCGACTGC